AGAGAGTTATCTGGGTGTGGTCTGAGACCATGGGATAGTTCTTTGTGCTCACTTCAAGTTTTTTATATAATGGTTTGTTCTGTTTTTAACATTGTGTAGATTAAAGTTTTGTAAATCTACAAAGTCTTAGCTTTGTACCTTCTCTGGCAACAAATCTATCATCTACTCCACCTAGAGGAAATTAGTCAGCCATGTGATGAATTTGGACAATTCCGCTGTATAATACAACAGAAATGAGAAAGGAAGCACAATGGAGGTCATAAAAACACTGGGCATAATTATGGCAAGGCCATCTCAATTTTTGTTTACACAAAGATTTTTATTAATTTTCCAAAGAAAAAATGAACAGCAAATTCCCCATCGTAAGGGTATAAAAATAACAAACAAGGCCAATTCATTTTTAAAGGGAATGTGTGCTTTATTTTTAATTAGTAAGCAATTATTTTATTCAGTTGATGTGTGACTGACATCTTTACAAACTTGCTCTCCAAATGTGTGTTATCATATTTCATATAGAGATTTTATATTAGCCACTGGGGGGATCGCTCAATGGCTCAATACAATTGCTCTGTGTTAACAACTGTTGAGATAAGGGGGTTGATTTACTCAGGGGCGTCCCAAGGCCGGGTGTCATCCGGTCTCTAGACCGGGTTACACCCCGCCATGTTGTTATCGCGTGTGACGTCACCTTGCACATGCGCGATGACATAATCACACATGCGTGACCATCTGATTGGTGCCTGCCGGCGGCCATCTTGGTGATGGATGCCGGCAGAAAGAGACTCTCTGACACTGCCGGGCTCTCAGTTCATGACCGGGTGCCCGACTTTTTAGAGGGGGTGACACCAAAATGACTGTGAGTCATTTTGGTGTCACCCCTGCAATGGTGACAACCCGGTGTGGCCCGCACCCCCCGTAAGCCCCTTGTGACGCCACTGGATTTACTAAAGGCAAATTGGCTGTTTTGCAGGGAAACTTTCACTTTGCAGGGGAAGATTCCCTTAGCATGGTGAACGTGGTAAAATTACACTTTGTATTTTTGCTTGCACATGATTGGGTGAGGGAAGTCAGAAGAGCTTTACCTCATTCACTAAAATAAGGCTGGCCATACACTGCTCTATTTTTCTCGTTCAAGTCGCCGGCTGGACGAAAAAAATAGAGTAGATTCCTTTATGAACACTACGAGTGTGTTTATCGAGGAATCCCCTCTGTTTGCATTGTATTCTGACAGCGGCTGGGGGCCACTGTCAGAATACCCAAACAGAGTCGGCAGCTCTATTTCTGGACGGTTCCTTCGATCAGCTGATCAAGAGATACCGGCCAAAAGGGTGCCGACAGTAGCACCCACTGTGCGAATTTATTTTTGTTCTTGAACAATACTTCAAGCAAATTAGAAGAACAGCTATACATGCCAATTACGCAAAGAGCTATACAAATTTTATAACGGGATACTGAGAACATAAATACATATGGAAACATAATCTCGGTGCCTCACATATAATATTATATGGGCACTATATTGATGACGTCATCAACATGTGGGGAGGAAATATGCAAACCATTCCTCCATTTGTAGATCATTGTAATTACAATAATATTGGATTACAATTTACCCATGTACGTGACTCACAAGGTTTAGGCCTTGTTCACACCAAATGCAGAGCAGATCCGTTCAGGTTTCTGCACACGCAGTGCAATGGATTGTGCCGCGTTTTTGATGCGTTCCGGGCCATTTTTGGTAAAACAAAAAAAAATGTTTTGTTTTTTTGTAAGTTTAACATGGGATTTCAGTGCGTTCCCGGCATTTGCATGTGTTTTAGATGCGTTTTGATGCATTTGCATGCGTTCCAGAGCAGGTAAAATAGGGCCTGCTGCAGTTTTTTACCTGCTCTGGAACTGCACGCTGCGATGTGAACTGGAGCAAAAAATACGATTGGAATACATTGGACGCAGTTTTGATCCGGTCTGCAACTGCTCTGCTCTGCACCTGCTCCGCGCTTGGTGTGAACAAGGCCTAAGTGTTTTTAGATCTGGAGCTCTTTTATAACAGAATAGGTTGTATAGATTCAAAATATACTTCAAACTCTTATCTACACTAGGGTAGTTGCCATCAACCCAAATGGAAAGGGAACATTCCATTCAGCCAGTTCTGGAGGCTGAGCAAAGTAGAACAGACCACTATGTAATAGAAAAGCAAATATAGGTGTGATATATCGGTGCATCCCTAGTATTAATCTGATAGAGTTGAAAATACTATAAAAAGTATCTCGACCTCCCAAAAGATATAGGAAGGATAAAATCGATTTGATTGAAATAAATATTTATTGTATGTTCTTTATTGTCTGTTCTTATGAGGTGATTGTACATTTTGTATATGCTTAGGTTTTATATATATATTTTTGTATATACATTCACCGGCCACTTTATTAGGTATACCTTGCTAGTACCGGGTTGGACTCCCTTTTGCCTTCAGAACTGCCTTAATTCTTCGTATTGGAAACATTCCTCAGAGATTTTGGTCCATATTGACATGATAGCATCATGGGCCGAAAGTGTGCCAAGAAGATATCCCCCACACCACCAGCCTGAACCATTGTGGTAAACAACCTGCTTCCCTATTTATAATGGTCTGGTCCTCTAGCAACTTCAGCGCCAAATGATAGCTAATTTGCCTACAAACGTCAGGTGGTCATAATAATCTGGCATGCGTGTGTGTATTTTTTTATTTTTTTTTTACCCATGCCCTAGTAGCCCACCCAGAAGTAGTGGCTAGCCAGGTGCAGGCACTTGCTGACCAATAGTAGTTCTTGATGGAATTGGTGTCTGTATATATGCTTTTGAAGTTCTCTATATATTCTAGCATGTGTGTTCTTATGCCTTTACATGGGTGTGGTACTGTATAAAAGGAGCAGAGGCTGGAACTAGAGAGGGCTCTAGAACTGGTTTTGTGAGCTACTTCTGGGCCATAGATAAGCGATCCTGCCTTTTACACTTGTGAGTGCGCCTGGCTGGTATATTTTATCTTTATTAAAGTTACTGTCTACACTGTGTTGCACTCTCTGTCCCTTGTGTTTTGTTTTCTACCTCTAAAAAACCTAGCTGCTTAGTTAGCTCAGCATTGCAGGTGCAACCTGCTTTGATGTCTACAGCTACAGAAAGCACTGGCAAAAACTATGCAGCGATTCCTCGTAGATTTGTATAGGGCCATATTCTGAGACTGCAGACCTATACAAATCTATGGGGCTTTATTGTGCTATAGAGGATTTGTGCAGGAAAGACTGTAAACATTGGAAATGGCTACAGCTCGGTGGTAAGTAAGCAGCTGGGTTAAGGAGAACTAGTTTAGACTACTAGAGGGCTGAGAAATATGCATTTACTATTAGTTTTCGTTTAAAGTGACCACAGGGTCTTTTTTCAAAAAATAAGTCACCTGTAAAAGAGTTGATATACTTGCCTTTCCAGCAGCCTGTGTTTTGAAAAGCCGCCACTCCTTTTCTCCCCAGCCATACTTTCGGGGGGGTAGAACACTTGCTTCCCCTCTGCCTGCTGTGTTTCCTGACAACTTTTATGTCACTACAGGACATACGAGGCAGCGGGACGAACCACAGCAGCCCATGGAGGGAGTAAGTATTTGACTCAGCTGATGGTCAAAGACCTGTAGTGGCTAGGGAGCAGAGAAAGTGGGTTTTTTTGTTTTTCATATACCGCTGGAAAATGAATATAAATATTTTCACGGGTTTATTTTATCTTTCTCATGCCCATTCCACACTTAGCATGGAATTTGTTGTTGAAAGTTGTTACTGTCTCAATTTATTTATTTTTAAATGTAACTATTCGCAAAGGCCCTGCTGTACATTAACGTTGTCCCAGGCTGGTCAGTGAATTACAGCCATTGTACACTGAACTTTTTTCATGATGTTTAAATATATATTTTGTTTAAATTATTAAGCAATAAGTGATTTTTTTTTTATTTTGGTCTTTAAGGTCATATTTTTTAAAATTACATACATTTGAAAGTACAGACCACCAAGACACTTGTTGACAGTGCTTTTCCGGGTACCAGTAATGCAGGAGGTGCAGAAAAGAGCAGATTGTGAGGAAATTTTAAAGGGTGGTCCTTTTTATTGAGATGCAGCAAGGTTATACCGTGGTGATGTCACCCCAAGTTATTCACGACCACAGCTTATCTAGCACTTGCGCTAGAATTTAAAATATATATGTTTTTCAAATTTGTAGATTAAACAAGAAATGGCTTGTTGACCTTTTCCAGCTTGGCAGCACACCAACACATTTATAGAATAGAGTAAGCACTGACGAAAGCGCAGGAGATTTTTTATTTTAAAAAAAGGAGAATACAGGAAGTAAAATGGCCTGTTCATTTCCCTATTACTTCCAGATAGAAAAAGATGCACAAGTCAAAATAATAGGGAACACATTCTATTTCAACACATACATGTTTTCAACACCATGTCGGTACACACACTATTCTAATCCCCACAGTTTTAACAGCAAACCTGTGACACAGTCAAATGACTGTGCTTGCCCCACCCGCCATCCACAACCTTGCCCTTTCTACAATGTGCATACTTTTCCAGAGGCTTTCTAGTGCTTTGAGTAGATAATGCCTCCGTTCCGATGTCCACATCTTACCCAGTAGCCAGACCTCATTATTAGCCTCAACTGTGCAGTGGCTGTATGTGAGCCGACTGATCCTCAGTGCTCACTCTCGTTCTTATGGTTATGGGACCCTGCTGCTGTGCGAAAAGGCTAAGTGCTGACAGAATATTAAAAAATAATAATAAATAAATATGAATTGTTGGACGGACACACACACACATGAAAGACCACTTAATATAATTCAACTGAAAATAAAGATGTAAAAAAAGTCTGCAAAAATGGTTTTATTTGCATAGATAGATATCATAGGTGTTTCAAAATTGCACATATCGCTTAGGATGCTGCTCATTGAACTGAGCTTATACTGTACAGCAGATTATTTTCTATTTTGGTTTTTCTCTCTGATAGACCCGATTGCATTTCACATCACCAAATATGCAAATCTGTAAAACAAAAAAAAAAACATTATATATTAAAAAAAAAAAAGCCTACATATTTCTCATCACATGTTCTCTTTAAAGTATGGTAAGAAGAAGAAATTCACAAGTGTCTGATAAATGCAAGTTTGCAGAGACCTCTAGCCCCCGGTTGTTAGGGGGCTAGAGGAAAATGCCAGTATTAATTTTTGATCGAACCCTTGAAATAATTAGTAGTATACATAGGGACGAGTTATTTCAATAAAATGTCAGTACACACAAGTCCAGATTTGTTGGACCTTTAAAGGATTTTAGCGATGCTATTTTGTATACAATATTAAAGTGAAACTCCCGAGTTAAATCTTAAAAATGGGTTCAAGTACACAAACTAGTAACAAATATGTAGCTCATTTGTGCTGTAGATCCTCAAATCATCTCTGAATTTGCACTGACATGGTCCTGCCTTCTGGAGGGTAGCTACTTTTGTTCCCCATGTGTTATAAAGTAGCCACCGCACCAAGCTTACTCCCGTGATGGACTACAATCCCGTTTGCATGTAAAATCCCTCCAGAATGGGTCGAGACAGGCATCAGAAACTTGCAGTTCGAAATTCTGCTTAATTTTCATTTAACATTCTATTTTGGAATAAATGGAGTTTCCCCAACAAACATCACATTCGCTGTTAGAAATTCGATTTGAGCAAAATGTTCTAACATGTGCCTTTGATTTTTTTCGTCACTGCAGTCAAATTGCTCATCGACTTGACCCCATCAACTATTAGAATGGGCAAAATCGGTCTACTTTCTAACCATGTACACCCTACTTAATTTATTCCCTTCACTGTGCTTACTTACCGTGATCATCTGACCATTTTTTACTTCACGCGTTATTGTAGATTCCTTGCCATCCCACTTTTGAAGTTGTATTAATTTCCCATCCTCTAGTGTAACGATAGTCTGTAACATCCAAATAAAATAGCATTCAACAAACACCTATATTAGTAGACAGAGGTTTTTCCTAAGGAAGTCAAGTTTGGTTAATGAATGCTCAGCATAGTTCATATAATGCAAGTGTCAAAACAAAAAGGGAACACTGCATTTGATTAATGCTTTAGTTTCCTTGTTAAAAAAGACAAGTCATGTGTCTGAATGAAGAGAATTCAGGAAGGATTTCAATAATGTAATCATGTCCATCAAGAAGACATTACACATCTTTTTTTTTTTATAAAAAAATAAATAAATCAAGGGAGATGAATCTAAAATGAGAATCATCTCTATGGTTTTATGTTCTATCCAAAGTTCCAGATATTTTATATATGTATATAACAAGTGGCAATCATTATGAATGACAATGATTGCTTGTGTCAACTGAAAAAGCAAAATAACTTAATTCAGACACCTAGGCTTGGATTGCGTGCTTGCCAACACGCCTGAATAAGATTACTGGTCCCACAGTTGAGCCAGACACCCTGGATGCAGGCTGGTTACACCGCAGCTTTGTTCACTTTGGCATGAAACTAGACCCATTCAGCTGTTAAAACTCAGAACTGTCCCAAGAAATCCAGACCTGCTGGTAAGAATGATGTAAGCAAATCAGATTCTGTAGACTAACAAGGGTTTCAGCAATGATAGGGCCACAAGGGAACATAGGGCCCATGCTGTGATCATCTTTTGCTACTTACTTCTGCAGGATCCTCCCAACTGGTGCAATTAATAAGTGTGCAAAGAATACTTCTTGGACTAAAAGGATGAATGCTCCTGTATTGTATACATTTTTTTTATTATTTATTATGATTATTTTGCAGAAACACAGTAGATCAATAATAAAAGAAGGATAGGGGATCAGTAGATGGAAAATAAATAGAATTGTAAAGAGGCTGCATCTTCTACGAACTGAATGCACATGTGGTGCTTTTGGGAATGTCAGGAATTGACCAGGAATATCACATTTATGCAATTCTGTTCTCTGAGACAGAATAGAGCCGGACATAATTTTATGGCCAATGTTGATCAGCTTCAAAGAGTCAGATTCTCCCTGCCAGGGGTTCCGTCCTCTCACCCTATTCTATTGGTTTTTATTCTACCGAACAGTTGTAAGTACAGCCTTAGAGCTGCGTGTTTTTACTATTAAATAACATTTTTACACTATGGAGGCGCTCTCTTTTGTTCTTAGCTTCAAAGAGACTTCAGATGCAATCCAATCATAAAATTGTGTTATTTGGACCAATCATGGATTCCTCATGTGAGGAAATGGGGGGCAACTTGGATAATATAATGGACAGGCAGAAGACTGCAATCTAGTAAACCTGCAACTCCAAGCTAAATGACTTTTTAGTGTATTCTCTTATAGAAACCATTGTATGCGCTAGAGAAGGGTATAGAAAAGGCACGGCATGCATGTATAAGTGGCCTGTATGTTTTGCTTTTTTTTTTCTCTTTTCTTGCAACTGTTGGAAATACAACAACAGCATACACTGATTTTTGTATTACCCACATTTACACATGTAATATCTTTTAAGCTCTAGATGGCAGTATATTGCAATGTTGTTCTCTATGCATAGGTATATGGTATACACAGGAAGGTCTCATATCTGTATACATATACACTGAGTCGCCAGATTATTATGACCACCTAACGTTTGTAGGCAAATTAGCTATAATTTGGCGCTGAAGTTGCTAGAGGACCAGACCGTTATAAATAGGGAAGCAGGTTGTTTACCACAACAGTAGAAGTGATTTTTTTCTGAAGATGTGTAAACAACGCGATTTAACAGACTCTGAACGTGGGATGATTGTTGATGCTCGGTGCCATGGAGCGAGTATGAGCAAAACAGCAGAATTCTTAAAATGTTCAAGAGGAGCTGTTGGTAAAGTGTTTAAAGACTGGACTGCCGAAAATCTGGGTCTGAACATGCGAATTGTGGCCGTCAACGACTACTCAATGTTAGGGCAGAGCGGAGAGGGGCAAGACTGGTACAAGACAACAGAAGGGCAACAGTGCAGTGTCCGATTCCTCGCATCACCTTTCAACATCTCGTGGCCCAACAAAGTACTGATGGGGTGGTAATAATCTGGCCACTCAGTGTATAATGTCCTTCTAAGTGCAAGTAAAACTAATTCAGCATTGCTCAAGATCTCTGTGCTTCATCTAAAACACAACCAACAGATTATGGGCCCAGACACTGAACAGAACACTGCAAATTAACAAGAGCCACATCCAAGCTGCTGAAAAATGGCAAGTAGTTCAGATAAGTACGCAAACGCAAAGGTCAACACCAACTATGGAATTTAAAGCTTGAAATGCTGCCAAGCAAAGACGACTTGTGAGAAGTACCGAGTATCGATGGACCCACTAACGGACCTGTGGAGGAATGGGACAAGAACAGGCAAACAAAAGAAGAAAAAAAAAAAAAAAAAATTATAAAAAGTTTGCAAATGGAAGAAGATGACCAGCTCATCCACATAAGAAAAGAGAATACAGCTAAAAATGTATGTGGACTGCATTACATGAACTGCATGAGCGTTCCAACCTGAACAGTAAACTATATCTGCTATATGAGGAGATTAGGGTTGCACAGATACCTAGTACAGTACTTGGTACAAGTACGATGACCTGTACCGATACTTTTGAGCTCCAAGACTAGACTAGAGAAAAATTCAAAAATTAGGAGGCAGCTGTCATTTGTAAGGAGCACACGGAGCTCCTGGGATTTGTACATCTCTGTTTTAATGTACGATTTAGTTTTTATAAAGGGATGCACAGATACCAGTTTTACGAGTATGAGTACTGGTACTTGCCGAGTACTTACAAGTACGAGTACTGATACATTTTTGTTTATTGTCATGTGACAGTTTTTCTAAAACAATACAGATTGATGATTTCAGGACAGTGATGGAGCAACAGAGCTAGGTCCCAGCTGCAACCTTGGGAGTTAATGAAAATGCCAAGTATCTGCACTGGTACTCGAAACGTATCTGTGCATCCCTAGAGGAGATGAGGCTAGAAGAAGGCCAGGAAATGCATGAACATGCGAGTCATACAGTGCTCCTATTAACGCTGTAGAAACCAGACCGGAAACTAACACTAGAATACACCAAAGGAAAAATGAAATCAATGAATATGACAGAAGGAAAGAAAATATGCACAATGAAGAAAACAAGAAATCCCTTAAGGTGCATGAGAGCACAAAGCAAAAAAAAAAAAACAGAAAGCAGAGCATGTTTTTCGCTGTAAAAAGACTGCTCACCTGAAAAAGGATTATTCAATCTGGAAAGCCAAGTCAAGACAGCCACCCAGAAGCCATAAAAGACATTATAAAGAGAGGGGCTTATCAGAAGATATAACCATACGCCCTGCTGAATGCTCACGACATGCAAATGCTGTATGGAAGCAAAGGCCACACATACCCTACTTCCACAGGCCATCCAGACTACCCACTTCATGGAGCTCATACACAGTGGCGAGTACGGACCAATGAAAATTCTATCAGGCGAGAACAGATATCTACTGACTGTCATTGATGAATATTCCAGGTACACATTAACTTATTTGATGAAGCACAAGAATGAAACATCTGAAAAACGTCAAGATTTTTTAGCCATGGTCAGCTACAAATGCCAATGGAAACCAGGAATTATACACACCGAGGGAAATACATCAGTAAAGAAGTCGAATCATATCTGAAGAAACAAGGTATAGTACACCAAACCACCACACCATACACTCCTGAACAAAAAGGGAGCATCATAGAGAGTCAGTGGGGTTGATTTACTAACCTTATAAACACACCACGAACGTGTATACACCTCTGCAGTGTGTTCCCTCCCAGCATGATCTATGGGTGGAATCTAAACACCTTTGTAATGTGTACACACCCAGCAGGTGTGTTGTGCAAAGCCCTGAAGGAATTCCAAGGTGATGTTGGGTAAATTAGCTCTATGTTGTGTTGCTTGTGTTGATGAATGCAGGAATGTAAATGCATGAGCTAACCATTTTTGTCTAAGCTGTGAAGCAGCATTATATATGCATCATGTGCATGATTTTTCCATATATGGCATTAGTGGAAATATGCTTTTAGAGACTTTTTGGTTGATAAATACGTTTTGCTGTGTGAAAATCACACACACCTGGTGTGTGTGTGTGTTTAGGTTAGTAAATCACCCCCAGTGTCTCAGAAGTAAAGATGGGCAGAGGTTCACCAATCTGTGAAAAAAAAAAAAATCCAGAATAATGTTCCTCAATGTAAAAACGCTAAGACTTGAAGTATATCATCCGCTATTGTACATATTATCAAGAGATTGTGAGACTATGGAAAAATCAGTGCGCAAGGGATAAGGCCAAAACTTAATAATAAATGTTTCCTAACATAATGTTACAAAAAACGTTTTTTTTTTCAAAATTTTCAGTAATTTTTCCTAATTATAATAAAAAATAAAACCCGTAGTGGTGATTAAATACCACCAAAAGAAAGCTCTATCTGTCCCCAAAAAATGGTATAAAATTCATTTCAGTACAGCGTTGCATGACGGAATAAACGTCAGTCAAAGTATCGCAGCGCTGAATACTGAAAAAAGGTCCTGGCCAGGAAGGGGGTCTAAACACCTGGTCTTGAAGTGGTTAATGTCACTTTAAAGTTTGACATTCTTTTTGGCAACCATGGGCACCACATGCTCTGGACTAAAGAGAAGAGGGACCTTCTGGCTTTAGTTCAAAAGCCTGCATCCTCGATGGTATGGGGCTGCATTAGTGCGTATGGAATCGGCAGCTTACACATCTGGAAAGGCACCATCAATGCCGAAAGATGTATCCAGGTATTAGAGCAGCATATGATCCCATACAGATGACGTCTTTCAGGGAAGGCCTTTTATATTTCAGCAGGACAATGCTAAACTACATGTAGCATCTATGACAACAGCATGATTTCCTAGTAGAAGAGTCCGGGTGCTTAACTGGCCTGCCTGCAGTCCAAATCTTTCACCAAGTGAAAATATTTGTGGAATATTGAAACGAAAAATACGACAAAGACCCAGGTCTTTTGAGCAGTTAGAATCCCTGTTAAAAGAAGGGATGCTACATTTTAGTCTTTATTTACACAGACTGTGTACATGTACCTAAAGACACTTAAAAGTCTCACCTTGCATTTCCGGTCATCTGCTGTGTTTTCATCAAACAATTCATTTATTGTAAATGAGAGGTCTGTAGTTGTGAAGGCGCTCACTGTTTTTATACTCCACTTCTCTCCATTTTTGCTGATAGTCACAACAGGTTTCAGAAAACCAGCAGCCTTCCTGGTGGCATAACTTACACCTAAAAAAAACAAATAAATATACATCCCATGTGAAAGAACACCTAATATAATAAACTACTTATGCAAGTTATGCACGCCTAGACAGGGGCGTTGTTAAACCCATTGTTAGACCCTGGCACATAGAGCACTTACCCCATGTCTTGTACTGGGGGCACAAAGTCTTCTTGATGGTATTATCCCCAAGACAAAAATTCATTTTTCTGCTGAACTTTGGTTATGAGATGTTTTGCATACTGTAGATCCATTTTCACACCAATATTTGACTCCACCCCCCAAAGTGGAATTCATTAGATTATAGAGTGAATGAGAGAATCTGGAATATTTTAAAAACTGCTCGGTTTCTGTTCTTATTAGTATTTTTTTTTTTAAATCTCAATTTTGTATAACTCAGCTGTAGATCCTCAAATCATCTCTAAATTAATGCTGACACTGTCCTGCCTTCTGGAGGGTGGCTACTTTTGTTCCCCATGGTCCCTGTGTGTTGTAAAGTGGCCACCGCTCCACAAACTCCTGGGATGGGACTAGAATCTCAATAAAAGTAGTAAACTTAAAACATGAGTGTAGTCAGTTGCTGTTTTTGCTGGCAAAAATATCAAAACGTTTTGCTAATCATTAACATGGTTATCAGATACTGTATGCATCTAGTATATTGAGCCTACCATTGTTTGCTAGGGTCAATACTGGATTTCTATTCTATTAACTTTGCTGCAAGCAATGACACACTGTACTAATTTAGATGGTACACGAACTGCCTGTTCATTCCAAGATTTCACTTCTTCAGAATACTTCAGTAGCAGCTATTATGTCTTTTGGAGGAAAACATACTGTAAAATATATTGCATTTCTACCAGGACTTTCCTTTCAAGTCGATCATAAAATAAAAAGGGGAAGGAGGTTATACTCACCCAATCCTTGCCCCTCTGCGTCCTACACTGTATTGGACGTGATGACTCACAGGACCTTAGACTGCTGCAGCAGAGGGGAGAGACGCTCCAGGGACTGGTCCAAGAGTGAGCCGGCTGCAAAGTTCAGGAGAGTTTAAAAAGGGGAACTATGGGGTAAGTGTTTTCCCCATAGTTCTGAGGGTCACGGGAGGACAAACTAGCGTCCTCCCGTGACCCAAAGCTCAGTATAAATCGGGAGCTACAGCTTGCGGTATACGGAGACCGCCGTAGCCGGGACGGATCCTGACATTACTGTCGAGATCCACCCAGCTGCGTGATGACAGCTGCCTCTGCCTATCTAGAGGCAGAGCCAGCTGCACCCGCCCCCTCTCCCGTTCCTTCCTCCAGTCAGCACTGGGGGATCGGACAGGGGAGGGGGGTAATCCCTGCAGGGAGCCATGACTGACAGCCACGGCTCTCTGCAGGGACAGGATCGAGAAGTGAGCGAGCGACGGTATGTATTCGCTCACTTCCCGATCTATTGAGCCGACGTGCGACAATGAAACTGCTCGAACTATGAGGTTGAGTGAAAAATCACTCACCTCATAGTTCTCCTTTAACTTTCATTTTTGACTCTAGATAAAAATGAACAGTAACCCTTGCAGTGCAGGAGTAGCCACAATGCAAAAGGTTAATAAAACATTTTTTTACCTGGGAGTTCTTTAAGTTAGGATGGTGGCAAGTTCTGGCGCTTCCTTAACATGTGCAAAAATGGACAGGCCTTGCCCCACCTATCATTCCTAGGTGTAGACATCTGTTCATCTATAGTCAGCCCTTATGGGACCTAAAATCTCCAAATGTGATGTGTGATGATGTATGTGAAAGTATGTCATGTTCAGTTATGGCCGAGATAACAATGCTCAGCACATTCAGGATGTTTGCTTTGTAAAGTGAGTCACCGTGGCACGCTTGCTTTTAGGGCTTGCATTTATTTGCTTCCTTCAGTACACAGTAGTAGATTTATATTTGCTCTTATGTGGTTGCGCTTATGAATGCTAATGTTCATGGTCAAAAGGAGGGAATAAATTAAGAAGAAGAACTCTGGCATGCCTCTCAACGTCCCCACGTCTAGAGCAAGTCAAATGGACATGTATTAGATGTAGAGACATCCGAATAGACCACCAAAGCCCGGGGGAAGAAGAGGCTGCGGGGACATTCTAGCAGCCAGGCGAGTATATCTTTATTTTAGAACCTAAAACAAAATGAGCACTTACCCTTGCAGTGGGGCTTTTTAAAATGTTTGGAGTTCTTCTTTAAGTTTGGAACTACTGCACATGACATTTTCACAGGCCATCAATAATATGTGCATGGATCGATACTGTACAGAGTGTTAGGTTCCCTGAACAATAAATGGCACCACAAAACACTGCATTTGGCCAGATGCAAAGTTGCTGCAAAGATGCTGAGCAATCACGATTAATATGCAAGATAACCTGGTGTTACAGAGCTACTCAAACAATAAATAACACGGTTTTATAGGTTATGCGGTCAATAAATCTGCTTCAATTTAACGCCACATTTTTTGCCCTGGGAATGCTTTAAACACGACTATTGCCGGTCATTTACATCAATTTCAACCATTTAGCCAGTTTACAGTCTCAGAAATGGATCATGGCAATCTACTTCCAAAATGGTTAGTAGTTTCCTTGATCCTTTCATTCATTTTTTTAAGTTAAAAGCTGCTTGAAATTGCCCAAAAAAATACGCCTAGTGTGTAGCCAGCGGATCTTACTTGCCTGGTCCAGGATGTATTCCAACAGGCCAAGTTAACCATGAAGTGGCAGCAACCCACTGATAAGGTCACCACACTGTTTGCAAAGTACAAGTGACAGCACTGTGCAGAACAATAAGCCTGAATGATTTCCAGTGCTCTGTTCTGCAGGAGATTACAGGAGGCTAATATAAAGTAAAGGTGCCCATACACCGCACGATTTTCGTACGAGCTTTGCGGGAAATCCCGCGATCGTACGATAATCGCTAAGTGTATGGAAGGCGTGCAACCATTCTACTGTACGGTTGCACATCTTCCGTCGAACCAGCATGCTAGAAAACCCGCCGAGAATCGTGGCCTGTTTGTTGGAAAACTGCTGAATGGGCGCACACTGCCCGTTTGCAGTCATCGGAAGCCCGCCCCTCATTGCAGTCATCGGAAGCCCTTGCGATGATCGCAAGTACGATCTGCCTGTCCAAGATGGGCAGAGTGTACTTTTTTTAAATTACTTTACAACCCTTGCAAGACAAAAGTCTTGCGAGGGTTGTAAAGTGTATGGGCACCTTAAGAGTCAGGTACTTTTGCCAGCTGTGTATAAAAATAAACGTAACGGGTTGTTTTTGTTTAACAAAATACATAACTGAATTATTTTTCTAATGTGTCTGAAGTGAAGCTTTAAAAGGGTATCATTACTGCATTAACCCCCCACCCCAACTTCCTGTTTTTAATAGGGCTACAGAAGATTAGATCAGGATTTCTTTCTTTGCAATTTATCTACTAACATTGTAAACTCTGGAAATGAAGAAGCAATGTGCAAGCTCCAAGTTGCTCTGTTCTGAGCTTACATATCCCCACGTGACAGCGTCCGTGCCTGGCGGCTGGCCAAGGTAGAGGAGTGGAGCACAGGCTACTGAAGATTCCATGTTTGCCACTTTTAAGGGAATTTATCAAAACTGGAGCAGCTGTGCATGGCAACCAATCAGCTTCTCTCTTTCATTTTCAACTCTTTACAGAACGGACTGAAGACAGAAGCTGATTGGTTGCCTTGCACAGCTGCTCCAGATTTTGATAATTTCCCCAGTGTATCCTTTGGACAAAAGGCCTTTTTCCTGATGCACATTTATCAACTCTGAAGTACAAGAAGGTAATGCAAGACAGAATGCAGCTTCATTAATATTTTCTTGTTTAATCTTCATAAAATGTCTTGCTGTTTAAATAGCAGTACTACACAATATAAAACTTGTCCCTAACAGGGTTTCATTCCATCAGTAACTTGCTTGATAAATCTCTTAGTGTAAGGCTGCCCATATACCCATCAATTTTGTCGTTCAACCCAGGGTCTAAACAGAATTATTTTTTTTAGCAGATTGCCCCAATCAACAGAAACAGTGTGGCGATCGAGGAATCCTGCTGTTTTCATTGTATTCTGACACCTGTCAGAATACCTGACCAGAGCAGGCAGCTCATTGGCCGCCGGCTCTGATCAATCGAATATCGAGGAATGCCGACTGAAAGGGAGCCGACAGCCCCACACACTAGGCAAATTTTGTCTGTTTTATTAAAAACCGTCCACAAACTAGATAGATAAAATGAATATGATGGGGGGGGACGGGACCGATCGGCACCCCATACACGCGATCCGCCGGCTCTACAGCCGGCGGATCGCTTGTATGGTGACAGGCATCGCTGCCTGTTTTTAAAAAACGGCCATTTCCCGCTGGGGGGGCGTGTCTGAGCGGACGTCTAAAGACGCCCGCTCAGATCTAGAGAGCTCGGGCCGGCCGTTTTTTTACTACGGCCGGCCCGGAGGTGGTTAAAAGTTAAAATTTAAAATAGGCGTTGCTGCAATATTCAACTTCAATCCAAAGAATTACTTTTGTTTGTCCCCAGGTGTTCTTCGTGATGGCGAGCATCATTCAACTGACTTCTAGGTTGTCCTGAACAAACCTCAGCTTGTGATTAGACAGTGAAAATGAGAAGCAGCACAGTAATTAGCCCATCTCTCCGTTTTCTCCTCCTATCTGCATGCCTCTGGTCAGTGCATGAACTGATAGGGTGCTTGTACGGCTTCGTCTCACATTCCAGCCTAGCTGTACAGGGAATTAATGAAGCAGATACTGGGTCACGCTCAAGTAATTACATAACTTGGATGCTGTAAACCGATGGAGCTGAAGAGCAAAGAGAAATACACACACACCATCCATTGGCTGTACATTTGTTCAGCGCACACCACTGCAACACTTTGCCTTGAACTTGCAGCTGCGCTGGAAAAAAACCCCACCTAGTGTAGCATTGGGTGGGAATGGGCCCTTAAACATGGGGAGCAAATGAAATAAATACTTATTTCACATGTTCTTCAGCTCCATCTGGTGGCCATGATGTGGTATTTTCCAAACGCTACATTTTATCCAAAAAGAAAATGTATACAAAGAACATTTTGCTTCTATTCACAGAGAACAAACATTCATAAACATTCACTATTCACCCTGCAAATTATATATAAATAATGTAATAATGCATGCATCTCACCACACACACAGCTACATTACAAAATATAAGAAAAGAGGTCTACATGTGTACCTGCAGGCGACTGCATTAAGAGAAAACTAGCATTATTGTAATATGCAAGCTGCCATTGCTGCCATCCTGAAAATGCCAATTGCCTGGCTGTAACTAGCTTCATCATTCTCTAAAAATCAGTGAATTCAGAAATCCTAATCTGAATACTTCTTGTCAGCAAACCACTCAAAAGTAATAAAGCCAATGGAGCAGAACAGCCAAGCAACTTGCATTTCAGAAAATACTTCTCTAGCTCCCTCCTCCCATGCTCGCCTCCATAACCTCTCCCTTCCTCAAACTCTCTACCACAATCTGTCTGCTTGTCTCCTACTCTGTCCACCTTTAGGCGATCCTTGAAATCTCATCTCTTCAGGGAAGCCAAGCCCACCTCAACATAACTGTCCTTTTATTCCTTACATCAGCTCATCCCACATTGTTACCTTTTGTATCACTGGCCCCTCCTACTAGATTGAAGCTCCATGAGCAGGGCCCTCCTAACCCTCCAGTATTAAAATTGTATTGGAACTGTACTGTCTCCCTCCAGTTTGTAAATTGCTGCACAAATGTTGGCACTACATAAATATTAATAAATGGAAACAGGATTTTATTTCCAGCACAGGGTTTCTTTGCTGAATTTATTGGGAATTCCTTGGAGAGTGCAGGGTTTATAGTGATTAGAGCAGCTCAAAGCAGCTCACTGCAGGCAAATCCATCTGTCTACCGTTAAGTCCTCATTCAAATGAGAGCTTTACTGCGGTTTGCGATTTCTGCAGCAAGAACCTATAGATTCCCTGGTGTCTGCATTCAGATGCAGCCGCTGAACCCATCAAAGTAAAACGACAGGGTGACAAGGGCTATATCTGTCAGCAGTATTCCGCATGCAACCATAAGTGGTACTATTACTCGTGGTTTGGGATAGATGATGGTCTCTGGGCGCAGGACAGATGCGTCCAAGTGCAAATCATATATCCCAAACTAGATGTACTCATACCATACAATATTACTGTTGACAGATATGGCTGCTGTCACCCTGTTATCACAGAACACCCTATGTGAATGCAACCTTAAGCTGAACTGCAGGAAAACAGCTATATACACCTGACCTAACCAACTGCTCAGTGGCCGTTGTCCCTCTCTGCCAATCTCTCCACTGGTTGCTTTCTGTCCCAATGAGAAGAAAAAAAAAAAAAATACTAACAATAAACATACAAAGCCATCCACATCCCCAACCACATCTCAAATAAATCACCCAAACCATCCTCTCCACTCCTTCCAACACCTCCTGCTCTCTAGTCCACTCATCACCTCAAGAGCCTCTGCCTTCCTCTGGAACCCCCTGCCCAATCTGTCTGCCTGTCTCCTACTGTCTGTCTTTAGGCAATCTCTGAAAACTCATCTCTTCAGGGAAGTATATCCCACCTAATACCTGTACTTTTACTTCAGCCATCAGCTCATCCCTGACAATCATTGCTTTTTTGTATCACTTGCCCCTCCCTCTGTGATTGTAAGCTCTCATGAGCAGGGCCCTCCGAACCCAGCTATATTGAATTTTATTGTAACTATCCCAGATAGCAAGGATAACTTGCCGCAAACTTGTGGCAGGGTTAAATAGTAATTATTTTTAACTTGCTGCACACATTCCCTGGCAAGTTGTAGACTTGCAGAACACTGGCAGCACAAGTTCTAGTTGACACTTTTTGAATTTGCAGCAGATTTGCTTGGCAAGTCTACAGCAAGAGTCCTGCAGGTCTTAGCAAGAGCTCTGCAAGTGTACAGCACTTTTGCAGAGCACTTTGATCTGGAGACTTGCTGTAATTGTGCAACAAAATTGTGAAGCTTTGCACGTTTAGAAAGTCATTTTCAAACTTGCAGCTCAATTGCTTGCTATCTGGGATACTGTCCCCCTTCATTTTGTAAAGCAGTGTTGGCACTATGTAAATCCTGAATAATAATAATAATAAATATTTATTATATCATAAAAGAAATGCATATATTTCATCAGTGTATATGCATATCCTTGTATATCCACATCAGCATGCTTCCTGCTCCCAAGTCAAATTCAGTTACTAACTTTGGTATGCTTGAAAAAAAAAAAAAAACAGTTAAAAATGTATTGCTTAAAATAAATTCAACTCTGTATTTTTTTAAATATTATATCCGCCTGGAGTTCAGCTTGAATCTAGAAGCTTTTTGAAAGGTTTAGTTTCTCCCACCTAAAAAAGGAAATCTGTTGTACAGAAAAGGTTTGATAAACCATTATTTTAAAATGCGGAGTTTTGAACATCTAGGCAGTTAGAATGGGAAAAGACAAAAAGTAATACATTAGTTCACCTACCAATTCCCTTCATATATTCATCGAAGCCCTCAGAAGAAACCAGCTCCCAGCAACCAAGCAGTTCCTCAGCCATGGTGGTAGTGCTTTACTGAGTTCAGGTAACACAGGCGGATCCGAGAACAATTGAAAGTGAGGAAAGATTACCAAGAGTTCCTTTTTAAACAGATGCAGCAAGGTTAAACTTCAGTGATGTCAGCACAAGCAGTCAATTGGAAGCAGAATATCCTCCCTCTTCCCTCCAGAGCTGATTCAGCACTTGTGCTTCAACTTACCAGAATACATATATTTCATTTTGGCAGATTCTACAAGAAATGACTTGTTCTCACCCACCTTTCCCAGCGTGGCTTTCACTCCACACCCACACTCAGCCTGTTCTGACAATTCAATCATTATTAATCACCTATCTCACTTTCTCTGAGAATTACCTGCTTTGATGTTACCGTACATACAAACCACAAAACCCTGAGCTAACAATTTCTAATTGATTGCACTGAAGGTCTTGCCTTAAGGTGCCCATACGCTGCTCAATTCTCGTATGAGAATCGTGGGAAATCCCGCGATCGTACGAGAATCGAGCAGTGTGAACGAAGACGTGCGACCGTTTCTACTGTACGGTCGCACGTCTTTTGTCTAAGGAGCACACTAGAAAACCAGCCGAAAATCGTACGATTTTCGGCTGGTTAGAACGGTGTTCGGGAGACAAATGCCGAACGGGCCGGTGTGCGCACGCGCACACTGCCCATTCAGCATTGCGGTCATCGGAAGCCCGCCACTCAGGGGGACGGCTTGCAATGATCGAGAGTACGATCTACCTGTCCAAGATGGGCAGATCGTACGTTTTTTTAAGTACTTTACAACCATCGCAAGACTAAGGTCTTGCGATGGTTGTAAAGTGTATGGCCACCTTTAGAGGATACCCTGACGCTGCCATGACTGACCTCTCCTAAAAATACTAAATCCCTGGCTGGCATGCTGGTCCATTGTCTTCAATATTTCTGTAGTTGGTGTCTCAGAGCAAGTATGTAGATGAGATATATCAACTTAAAGTGACATTAAACCCTCAGATTTTTTAACATAAAACAATACTGTAATGTGTGCCTTACTGAAATCCATGGTTGTTTCCCTTCTCTTTGCTGCTCTTCCTTTTAAATCTGTATCTGTTCTCATGCTGGGCAGAACTTCTGTTTTGCAGCAGACTGCCTTGTTTCTGAAATGGATACATGGTGTCTGTGTGTAAGTTTGCAACCTGAGCCAGCACTACAGGAAGAGGCACTCAGCTGCAAAGGGAAGTTCTCCCCAAGCATGAGAAGAACGCGCGTTCAATTGGACAGAAAAACGTGCATACAACGCGCATATTAGAAACGCCCACGTGTGAAACCAGCCTTAACCATTAACAAAAATGTATCTTATTTGTGTAACACTCAGCTGTAGATCCTCAAATCATCTCTGAATTGGTGCTGACACTGTCCTTCCTTCTGGAGGGTGGCTACTTTTGTTCCCCATGGTCCTGGTGTGTTGTAGAGTAGCCACCGCTCCAAACTCACTCCCATGATGGACTACAATCTCACATTTAGTGTACTGATTTGTATTGAGATTGTAGTCCATCACAGGAGCGAGCTTGGAGCGGTGACTGCTTTACAACACACAGGGACCATGGGGAACAAAAGTAGCCACCCTCCAGAAGGAAGGACAGTGTCAGCACCCAGTCAGAGATGATTTGAGGATCTACAGCCGAGTGATACATAAAAAAGATACATTTTTGTTAATGGTTAAGGGACTTGAATGCAATCTTAAAGTGACATTAAACCCTCAGATTTTTTAACATAAAACAATACTGTAATGTGTGCCTTACTGTAATCCATGGTTGTTTCCCTTCTCTTTGCTGCTCTTCCTTTTAAATCTATATCTCTTCTCATGCTGGGCAGAACGTCGGTTTTGCAGCAGACTGCCTTGTCTCTGGAATGGATACATGGTGTCTGTGTGTAGGTTTGCAATCTGAGCCAGCACTACAGGAAGAGGCACTCAGCTGCAAAGGGAAGTTCTCCCCAAGCATGAGAAGACATGAGGATTTAAAAGGAAGAGCAGCAAAGAGAAGGGAAACTAACATGGATTACAGTAAGGCACACATTACAGTACAGATGTTCCTCACTTACCGACTTACCTGTTTTGCGACCACTCGCACTTACGACGGACCGCCGATCGACCTCCGACCTTGCGCGTCAGCGTCAGTGCGACGTGTCGCCGGCGGAAGTGACATCCTCCGATCTTCACTGCAGGTCCCGGTAAGTATTTCCATTGCCCGATGTACAGTACACTGTTCGGTACTGTACATCGGCAACGCTATACAGTACTGTACTAATGCAGTAAAGTACTGTATAGAGTTCCTCACTTAACGACCAATCCGTTTAACGACCTGGTCGTAGGAACGGAACTCGGTCGTTAAGTGAGGAATACCTGTATTGGTTTATGTTAAAAAATCTGAGGGTTTAACGAGTTTAGTGTTACAGCTGAACTACAGGATAAGCAAATATTTTCTAAATACAAGAGAGGTGTATTTGTACTTGCATTTTGCTGTGCTTTGGGTAGTTCTTCGATATCTGTGTAATAATCCAGTGTGAAATCTTGCCTCTGTGGAGGGTCTTCCTGTAATACGAACCGGTCACTGCTACTGTTTCTCCTTGTGGAGGGTGACTGGTCTTGTATCCGCCCTTCCTGTAGTCCTGTAGTTTTCTGCAGACCATGTGCAGCACGATGATGATGTTACTGCTGCTTTTACGAGGTAAGACTGGGTTTGCAACAGCATTTGGTACACAAAGTGGAATTATATCCTTTGTAGCTAATACAAAATATATGTAAATTAAAGTCTGGAGTTCAACTTTAATGTGTTCTATATCACAGTGGATAATGTATACCTCACAGATCTCTTGTAACAGTTTTCCATAATGCCAGACCTGAGAATGATATATGGGGGAATTTATCAAAACTGAAGTAGACATCTGGAGCAGTTGCCTCAGCTTCTCTCTTCAGTTTGTTCAGTTAAGTGTTGACAAATTGATAATGAAAGCCAGAAGCTGATTGCTTTCAACTCCAGATTATGTCTCCTCCGATTTTGATAAATTCCCCTCAAGATGAAGAAAACTTATATTTACCTTTAAATACAACTTGACTTGTACTACTCTATGCCCTTTGTAGTATGTACTGTATGTATAATTGCATTTTCTAATCCTTTCAGTAAATTGTAAAACTACTTTTCAATAAAAAGTGTTTAGACACAATTAATGTACCCCTTCTACCCCCTTGCTGTGCATAGCATGAAAATTATCTGTGCCCTGCTTTCAAATGAATATGGGGGATCAATTTACAAAATACTACGTGCACCAAATTCTTTTACATCAGAAGCCCCCCTTCACAGCAGGAGCCCTCTTAAACTTTAGAGTTCTACCTTAACATTAGAAGCCCCTTTGCATCGAAGTCTCCCCTTTTATCTCAGGAACCCCCCTTCACATGAGTCCTCTTTACACCAGAGTCCCCAGGTCCCCTCTTTAAACCAGAGTCCCCAGGTCCCCTCTTTACACCAGAGTGCCCAGGTCCCCTCTTTACACCAGAGTCCCCAGGTCCCCCTCTTTACACCAGAGTCCCCAGGTCCCCTCTACACATGGAAGTCCTGCCATCACATTAGGAGCTGGTGCTGTGGTGGCATGGCAGAGGGCAGGAGGTGGAGCAGGCCTGGAAGGAGGTGAACTTCCATCCACTTTCGAATGGCTCCCACCCTCCCTGGATTAACATAATTTGTTTCCATGGTGCTGGCAGCCAGCCCGACAGCACCATGGAAACGCATGACACTGCAAACATTTTGAAGGCACCCCTGAGGAAGCCGAAAGGCACCCCGGTTAAGAAAGGCTGTTCTAAATGCACAGAATATAACTGGCTTATAATATGTGTAGGAAATAACATTATAGATTTCTGATTGGGAACTTCTGATTGCTTTATGGGTTTGGCAAATATTTTTTTCCCTGTTTAAGGAAATTGTATCATGCTTTATAAAGGTTGTTTGCCTTCCTCTGGATCAACTGTGTTATAGTGTTTTGTATATGCAGGTATTTATTAATGTTTCTATTGGTTGAACTTGATGGACTTGTGTCTTTTTTTAACATGACTATGTAATAATTACACTCTTCTCAAACCTAACAGTTTTGCAAGTTTACATTCACCATGGGACCAGGAAATTGCAGAAACATAGAAACATAAACTTCTGTGGAAAATTGCACATTGCGGCTGGTAGGTATGGTATGACCTTCATGTGGTGCCTGTTACTTTGCATACTTCAGGTTTACATTGAGGGCTTTGGCTAAACTCAAAAGTTTTCATGAGCACCCAGAACCAGATACAGTATATGTTTTCATGTTAAGGGCATGCATGCTAAGTAATGTAAAGGAGTAACACTAACCAGTATGTATTACAACTTGTCACAGTACTCCCCTGGCAATGCCTTTGCTGTATTCTTTCCAGAAGGATGGCATCAACTTTGTTCAGTCATTATCCAGGGTTAACATCTACTCCCAGAAATAATGTGCTGTCTGAATTGAATCCTCTAAATCCTGGTGCCTGAACACCTTTTGGCAAATATCTGACTCAGATCAGACCTTGCAGCAAACTCTCTCTGTGTGACTTGCTAAGTTACAATGCAGTAGCCTAATCACTGGGGGAGAAGAAATGCTTCCTCCTACCTTATACAGACTGAAGACATCTTCTCAGCCTAGGAAAAGTCATTTGAATGAAGTCAAAGAGCCCACGTCCTGTTTTTAATGGTAAAAGGTATACTTTGCTGTTGCTGTATATTGTAACATGCCAGGATATTCTTCTTGCACGCATGTAAAGTTACAGACAGGTCCACTTTAGACTCTCTAATGGGCCCTGATAGAGAAACGGAAATGTACAGTAGCATTCTATCAGCAATCACAACAATTTTATTGTTCTAACTGATATAATCTGGCTGCGGTGGGATTTGGCACTTTGCATAATATAATTGTTCGGTGCACACCCTTAATAAATAATGATGTATCTAATTGTGTTACAGATCAGTAGTATGTTTCATGACAAAGCATAAATACAAATTGTACTGAACTGTAGTGGAGCTTAAACTTGAAGCAGCTTGTAAATTGCCGGGGGGAAGGCACATCATCATCATCTCATCAGTTCCATGGCGGACAAGCGTTTTCAACTCACCCCTCTACATAGCAGCTGAGCCTTTGCACATAGTACTTAATT